ATGTTCAAAAAGCAGTATTCACAATGGTGAAAAGGTAAAAACAAAGCAAATGTCCATCAATAGCTGAATGGACAAACTGTGGTGCAGCAATAGAACAGAATAATAATCAGCCAGAGTGATCAAGGTATGAACCTTAAACACATTATACTAAGAGGAAAAAAGCTGAACACAAAAAGTCATACATTATAGGATTCCACTCATATAAAATATCCAGAAGAGGTAAAACCAGAGACAGAAAGTTAACTACTAGTTACCAGAGGTTAGATGGAAGGCGGGCTGGGAAGTAAGTGATTCTTGGGTAGTCTCCTATTGGAGTGATGAACATGTTTTGGAACTAGACAGAGATGATGGTTGCACAATATTATGCATGTACCAAATTGCAACGAACTGTACACTTTTAAAAAGTTCATTTTATAATTCCACCTCATTTGAAAACAAAGAAGCACATGCTGTTTGTTATACACAAAGGCTATTGAACACCACCCTGGGGCTCCCCATGGTTGGACTCCACGAAGTACATTCACTCGGCATGTTTATACTTTTACATTTTCATACTTGGTTGCAGCAGAAAATGCCTCCCCTCACTTCTGTCCACATCTCTCCTGCTCTGGATGCTAAAGATTCCTTCTGGTTCCTACCTCGTCCCGCTGACCAAGATCTGGCTCCCCACAAAACCTCGGGGCTACACAGGCACACAGAAGGGAGGGGGATGTCTGTCTAAAACAAAAGGGGCTTTTGTATTTGGAGACCTGGGGCTACAAGTGCTTTTGTCTACCCAGGTCACAGTGGGCACCCACACCCCTGGAGAGGTGCCCTCTCTGGCTCAGCATCCAGAGACAGGCCTCCATTCATCCTACCTTCAAAACTCCAGCACCTCGAATCCCAGAACGATTTCATCTCAGCTCTCCCTGGGTGGGCGATCCCACTACCACCCCAACTCCAGCAGTCAGGCAGGATATGGTCTTCTGCCTGAGCCACTCAGGTGGTGTGCTGGGAGACCCCACAGTGCCTTGGGCCAGTTGGGAGGTGACCACCAGCAGGGGCAGGGACACAGTTAATGGGTTGAACTGTGTTCTATAAAATGTCATATGTTGAAGCCCTAATCCTCAATACCCCTGAATGAGACCTGATATGGAAATAGGGTCTTCAGAGATAATGAAGTCAAGATGAAGTCATTTAGATCAGACCTACTCCACCATGACGATGTTGGAATAAGCCAGAGGAACTGGACAGTGACACACACAGGGAAAACACCATGTGAAGACTGGAGCTCTGCTGTCCCAAACCAGAACCTGCAGAAAGCTCCCCTCGAGATTTCATGACCATGACATTAATCTCACTCTTCCAGCCTCTAGATCCGTGAGGTAACAGATCTGGTACTCTAGGTCACCTAGTTTGTGCAGCTTTGTTACAGGAGACCCAAGAGACCAATGCAGGCACCCTCTGCTCTATCCAGCAGTCTCCAGACCATAGGGGGTGGGGGTTAAGGCAGGGGCCTTCACAGACCAAGGCCACTGCTAGGTGGTCACTTCTGGCCCTGACTGGGAACTCTGACCATAGCTTTCAACCTCATGGGGCCCATGGGACTATAAAGAAAAGGAGAGGCAAGGGAGTTGGCCTCCCCGGAGCTGGTCAGTGGAGCCCAGAAAGCCCAGGAATGGCCAGATCACATCCTCTTACACCTCCTCTGGGCCCCTCTCAGCCATCGGCCATTTGGAATAGCCACTATATCCCTTTTAATCTCAGTAGGGGTAGTGCCTCAGCAAAGCACAGAAAGAGGCCCCTCGGCCTGGTCACAGTACCTCACCTATGTCTACTGGGTCCAGGCTGGCCCATAAACGGGGTGAGGGCAGAAATGACTGTGCCCCCCCCCCCCCCCCCCCCCCCCCCACCGCAGAGGGCCTGGGATCAGCACACAAAGCAGGGAGGGGAGTGGTGGGCCTCGGAGTCGGGGCTGGGTGGTGGAATGCTCAGCAGAAGCCCCTCCCACAGGTGCCGAGCAGCCTCCATCTACATGAGCCACCTGACCACTGCACAGGTGGCCCTCCAAAGGAGCTGGAGTCTGTCAAGGGTCAGCTCCAGAGACTATAGTCCATTGCCCACAAAATGGACATGCTCCAGCTGGCTGAGTCAGTAGTGCTCTGAACTTTCAGTATTGAGCCCAGTATCTACAAAGGGTAGGAAGAAGGAAGATACCTGGGAGGTCATCGCACAGCCCTTTGAGAAGGGTCTTGCCTCGGACTGTGACCACCTCACATAGTTACCGCCTTGCATCTCAGATAAGGCCAAGGCTGGGATGGGTCCAGAGCTCTGCATGTTTCCCAGGAAGGCCAAAGGGTAGTACCTCTCACAGCAGCCCTAACCCTCTAACCCTCACACTACAGTGTGTTTATCAACTGTGTTGACACTTTGTGCAGACTTTGAATGACTGAGGGCAGGATGAATTTGAACAGGGCACGTCCTAAGGTGGCAGGTAATGCACAATGAGTTGTATCTCAGTGATTAAAACAAATCACTACTTGGGTGACTGGCACATGAGAAGGCTGAAGAGTAAATCTTCATGAGCGTGCACTGTGTCAATGAGGGAAGCTGGTAATGTGTTCATGAATTCTTAGAATTTACACCCATTAGAGAAATTCAGGAGTCAACAGAAAGCTTGATGAGAAACAGCATGTTTACATAGTTTCGAAGCACCACCCCCCAAAATATACAAAAACAGTAACTTTGTAGTGGAGAAGCCTGGCAGAAAACACCCTAATCGAGTGATCAAAATGAGCACCAACAATGATGGAACCATCAAAATCATGTGCCACCTGTACGACATAAGTACCTGCTGTCACTTCTGGGATATTCCTTCCAAAAAGTCCTTCCCTGAATTACAGGGAAACATCAGACCTGGCCGTTTGGGGTGACGTGCTAGAGTAACTGTCAGTCATAAAAGTCAAGGGAGGAACAGGGGCTGTTGCAGGCCAGGAAATGATGCACTGAGTACACGCAGCATGTGCTATGTGATGGCTCTTTTGTAATTTGGGGCGTTAGTGGGACGACTGAGTGAACTTTAATGGGGTCTGGGAAAAGGTGGTAATGTATCAGTATTGATCTCCTTTTTGATGATTGCCTTATGGGAATGTAGAATTCTGTATGTAAAGGCGACACAGAAGTAGAGCAATGACAGGCATCAGAAACGTTTGTGTTCCATTTGCAACTTTTTACAAGTTTGTGACTTGCATAAGAAAAGAAATCTTTGACAACTGAAAGACTGCAGGTTCTGGGAACACCGAATGCGAATGCGAGTGAATGTCCCCGAGTGGAAACATTACTGCTGCTGCTGCCATTCGGTACGTGCTGTGTTGGCAATGAAGGTCTGCAGAGTCAAGGTGAGGGCAGGGAGCATAGGTGGTCTCAGCTCAGGTGCCTCCCTTTGGGAAGCCCTGGGTGTCTCATCATTAATGCATCACATATCCTGGGATGTGCAACTACCCACGATTGCTCCTTATTTCTGTCTATCCTGTGAGGTGCCTGACAGCAAGAAATGGACTCTGCTCCCTGCTGTATCACACAAACTGCTCAGCACATATCTGTCAACTGACACAATGGGAGAGGCAAGGACCAAGGACCTATCCCTGGAGGTGACAGTTATGAGTATCAACGTCACCCCTGCAAAGGAGGGTCACATGCATCAAGAGTCACATCACAGTCGGCCCCCCTGGGCCCGGTGTGCTTGAACATGGCAGCTTGTAGCACTGGGGAAATTCCTTTCTCCAACAAAAAACAGGTAAAGGGCAAAGGGACACTGTGACACTGTTTATAAAACAGAGACATTAGAAACAATCAGATCAACAGGGTACTAATTCATCAATCAATGCCCACTCATGCCATGAAGTGCCCATCAGGGACTGAAAGGGACAGGTGTCCAAGATGTAGTTAAGAGAGTAAAAGGGGGGGGGGGATGCGCCTGGGTGGCTCAGTTGGTTGAGCGCCCTACTAGGCTCAGGTTGTGATGTCACGGTTGATGAGTTCGAGCCCCACATCGGGCTCTGCGCTGACAGCTCCGAGCCTGGAGCCTGCTTGGGATTGTGTGTGTGTGTGTGTGTGTGTGTGTGTGTGTGTGTGTGTGTGTGCGTCTGCCCCTCCCCACTCATGCTCTGTCTCAAAAATAAAATAGGGGCGCCTGGGTGGCGCAGTCGGTTAAGCGTCCGACTTCAGCCAGGTCACGATCTCGCGGTCCGTGAGTTCGAGCCCCGCGTCGGGCTCTGGGCTGATGGCTCAGAGCCTGGAGCCTGTTTCCGATTCTGTGTCTCCCTCTCTCTCTGCCCCTCCCCCGTTCATGCTCTGTCTCTCTCTGTCCCAAAAAAAATAAACGTTGGAAAAAAAAAAAATTTAAAAAAAAAAATAAAATAAACATTAAAAAATTTTTTTGAAAAGAGTAAAAGGGGGAGTTCAGAACATTAAACTGTAATTTAATAGAACAGAACATTTGTTTTACAAACAAAATGATTTACAACCTCAGGGGGAAATGTACCGTCGCATCTTGCCTGAGCCATCCCAACCACGTAACCCTCTGAAGAAGCCCCCCCAAGATACAGATATGTCAGAACACTGCCCATGCCCCACTAACCAACTTATCTGGGTAAAGTGTGGCCTCGTCATTACAGCAAAACATTCTCCTCTTGCTCTGGAAAGGCCTTCCCTGCCCAGAACCTGCCCAGGAGCTTGAGGTCACAATTTCTCGCTGCCTGAGTGAAACAGACCCCTCCAACTTCTGGGCTCAAGAGAATTCTCGAGTGCTTTGCTTCCTCCAATACAGTGAGTTGCCAGCCAACCAAACTATGAAACATGGCAGGGGGCCAACTGGCTCCCAATGCTTCTCACTGGAACCCCCTAAGGAACTCTGGGGTCCTTTTTTCAGTCGGAATGAAGCTCCGTAACGTGTGTTGAATGGCTGGATGTCCACATCTGCTCCCCAGGGCACTGGCTGGATACCCCAGAGGATATCTCTCTCAACCCAGGCTGCCCCCTGAAAGCTCAAGGAGCATCCGGGCTCCCCAGAAGGCATCGCTAGAGGCCTGGCCATCGGGCCACTGCACCTGGAAAGCCAACACAGCGTTACGCACAGAAGCACCTTCTGCCTGGCTCCACCTTCCCACCCGGGCACCCCTACCCTGGGACCCACCCTCTCTGGACTCAGTGGGAAACACTAGCCCGTGGCACCCGGCTCCCATTCGATTGACTCCAGCCTTGAGGCATGCCCACCCCTCGTTCCATTTGTCTGCTTTATTCACTCCAAAGGCATGACCTGAGAATCCAAGAATTCAAAGGGAAACCCGTGGTACCTGGTAGTAGGGTCTCACCTGGCTGGAGGGCAAGGGCTGGCTCAGGTCCAGAGCAGACATAGGGCTGGAGAAAGAGGGGTCCGGAGCCAACTCCAGGGGGCTGGAAAAGAGACGACGTCAGGACAAGCTCTGAATCAATGGGGCGCCTGGTCACTACATGCCCTGACCGCTCTCTGCACATAAGCAGCCCTTCCAGGTGCTGGATGCTCTTCAGGAACCCTGTCCTCTCATAGGGCCCTCCGGTGTGCAGGTGCCACAGAGGCTTGTGTGAGCCAGAGAGCACTTCAGGGCAGGCTCACAGAGAAGGGCCGGCAAGCGGAAACCCGAAGGAAGGGTCAAGAAGGGGCAGGCCTGGGGTGTGAAGGAGACAAGAGGCCATTAGGACCAGGCTGGGAGAGCAGGGAAGATAACGGGTGCAGCCACTCGGGACAAGAGTCTGGTAGTTCCCTAAACTGGCAGACGCACACCTACACAGCCATTCTGTGTACACACCCCAGAGACGTGAAGGCAAACACGTATGTCCAGGAATGCTCAAAGCAACCCAACCCAGGGACTCAGCAATGACTACAAACCGATGATGGATCAAAAAACATGGTCCAGCCACATCAAGGACCAGAACTCACAAATAAAGGGGAATGGATTGCTGATGCACACAGCAACAGGGGGAAAATCTCAAAGTACTCAGGCCGAGTGAAAGGCGCCAGACCCCTCGCCCCACCCAAATTTAAAATTTTAGATGTCGTTTACATGGAATTCTAGCAAATGCAGATAAAGAAAGCAGATCCACGGTCCTGGGGGTGTCAGGGTTAGAAGCAGGTGGGAGTGCTCTGTACGGCTCAGCAGTTCTAGCTTCGTGGTGGAGACGTAAGTCGCACTCAGAAAACGACCATCTGTACCATCTAAACATGTTGCTTTAATGAATGCCACTTATGCCCCAGTGAATTCGCTTTTAAAGAAGGAATCAAAGTCATCAGGTCAGAGCAATGATGGGCTGGGCCTTGGGAGTCCAAGGCTGATACAGCCAGTGGGGAGACCAAGCAAACCACAAAGGTACCCAGTGGGGGCATTTTCTCCATCACGGTTCCTGGTCACGAGTGAAAAAGTGAGTCCATCTGCATAGTCTGCATTTTCTCACCATCTGCTGTTTCAGCAAGAAAATTAGTGACTTAAAGAACTGCTCCCCTTCTTTCTCACACATGGCACTGTAGTTCCGCCCGTACTGGGCACCTGGCTTTCGGCTCCCAGACTGGGGAGACTGTGAACCCTGGGGACCTGGTCCTGGTGACCCCTATCATAGATCCACCAAAGGACCCCCAACGTCTCACACTCTTCCATCCCTCTTCTCTACCGCTAGATTCTCCTGGCCTGTTGTCCTGGGCCCCACGGCCAAAATCCACAGCACCTAGGCTGTTCATGGCTCTCCCAAGCACCTCTGAAACTACGGTTTGGAATGTAAAATCCACCTTGATGCTGCTCAAAAACTCAGACAACCTCTGTCTAGGGAAAAGAAAATGCCCAAAAAGAGGCTGCTGGGGCCCAGGGTGATCTTGGAGAAGACACAAACCGTGAGCACTGTCCACAACACAGACCTCATATCTGCTCTGCTATTTCTAGGTGTTCTTTTGTCTCAGGGAAAAACTACCCTCTTCTTCTGGTAGATGCAGGGTGGGAAGAATGTTGTTTTTCTTCCAGAAACCCATAAGGAAAGGGCTCAATCTGCACATCTGAGGTCACAAGTCTGTATGTAAACCAGACAATACCTTACCCACGGCCGGAGAAAATGCTGCTTGAGCCCCATGGCTCTGCGTGCCTCACCTCTGGGTCAGGATGAATTCAGGAGGCTGTGGCGGGGGCTGTGTCACCTGGAAGCCGCCAGCCTGTTGTTCTTGACCACCGCCAGTGCCCGGACCTTCCTCCAGGTACATGCTCTGCGGATTGCCAACAGGTGGGTCAGCGAGTCCTACACAGAAACAAATTCCACAACCCAGTGCTGGAAGAAGAGAACACAGCCCACAAGCAGCACAATCAAGACCTCCATGGAGAGAAGCAGCATCCAACCTGGCAGGCCTCAAGCCTCAGCCTCCCTTGCTGAGGAAGGAACAGTCACGACTGTTGATCTCAATGGCCTTTTTAGGCTTCAGAAACAAAAACAAAGCCCAGTTTTGCAGACTTCAAGTTCTGCTTAATTAACCCAGACTTCGTGCCAGCCCCCAATGCCAAAGATTCAGCATCCAAATCTGCCCCCCACACACCCCTGCTGCATGAGGACAGGGAATGGGCAGTCCACTTCTCAGTTTATCTCGTGCTGGTCCATCAAAGGCTGAGCCACCAGCCCTTAGCTTTTTTGATTTTCACCTTTTACCTGAGGTTTCACCATGATTTCAAGGAGGTGCAAGGTGTCACGACCTTACCTGGCTCCTTCTCGCTACATTGAAGAGAGTATCTCCATGTATCATTCAAGATAAGCCATGGTGAATCTGATCAATTCTGGGTCAACAAACATTCTGGAGCAAAGGAAAGGAAGGAGGAAGGTGCGTGTCTTCCCTGAGTCTACCAGGTGGTAAACCTAGCATCGGAATCCCTGATCCCCGACTCAGAACAACAGGCCAGCCAGGCGGGGCTCACAGTCCTTTGTCTTGTCTGCCAGAGTGACGACCCAACCTGCCAGCCAGCTGCCCAGACAATCTCAAACCAAAGGAACTTTCCTGACAATTTGGTGTATGTATGATTTTACCTCCACTTTCCACTGTTTCCTCTTTTCTGTGGAACTTTAAAAGTACTCTGAGATACATTAAATACAGTTTAAGTGCTGATTTGAGCATTTCTGATTCAAACATAAAAGATCACTGGGTTAGATCTTCTTCCTCCAAGAGAAAAACAAGTAATAAGCTAAAAGCCCAGAACAAAGGGAGAGTCAGGGGAGGGATAATTAGTGGAAGGGAGATGTCCACAGTCTGCAGACCCAGGGCACAAGTACATCCTATGTTGGTAGGGCATCCGAAAGGAAGGTGGGGTATAGGTCAGGTCCTGAGAACCCTAAGGAGGTTGGAAGGGAGGGAGCAGTAAGGGAGAGCAGGGTAACATCCTGGTGCTCAGACAGTCAGCAGGGAGGCTCACCAGTTCCTAGAGAACATCACCCCTCACATGTGCTGGACCTGGTGTGAAGACCAGCTCCCCTCGTCCCAGTGTGAAGTTGGCCAGTGACTGCCCCACTCCAGCCTTGTTGGTAAATTTGGACAGGCAAACGTAGGTCTCTGACAGTGGAAAAAAAACATGGACAGCAAGAAATGAGGGACCGATATGATCAAACTGAAAAGCTGCCTACAGAGCAATGAGTCTCCAGGGCCTTTCCTCTTTCTGACCCTTCCTCCTTCCCTATCCAAGGAAGGGCCAGAATCCACAGCCCCAATATTCCTGCCTTCAGACAACAAAACATATTTTTGAAACTTCTATTGAGAATACTCAGAAAAATCAAAGACACTGCATCTATAAAAAGTAATAGAATGCACGAAGAAGGGAAAATTCAAATAAAAAAAGAGCCTGGAATTCTCTTAACGCCTACCTGTCAAAATGGAATACTGAAAGACAGAGTTTAACACCTCCAAAGCACATACGATGAAAAAGAAAAGAAATGCAAGAAAAAAGGTAAACATTTGGGAGACTGGTCCAGGATTTCCAACATCAGAATAAGATTTGTGCTCTAAAGAGAACTGAGAATGTGGAGGGGATAAATTATCAAAGAACATTGTCCAAAAAATAGCCAAACCTTAAAGAAGACATTACCTTCTCTAAATTGAAAGGCTTAACAGATAAGTGAATTAAAAAGACTCACACCTAAGACCATCATTGTGAAATTTCAGAACACCCAGACTTAAAAAACAAAACTCCAAGAAAGGAACGATACGTTGCAAAGAAGAAAATAAAATGAAATCACCAACATCAGATGCTAAAAACAATGATATAAATATATCTGTAAATATCTAAGGGAGGAGGATATTTAAACTCAAAACTCCTTCCCTGACAAACTGTTAATCAAATGTGAAGGCAGATTAAACACAATTTCACAACATGTAAGGACTCAGAAAATTTATCTTGCAAGTACCCTTTCTTGCCCAATTAATTGAAGATGTTCTCAAACATAACAAAGAAGTCAAGGAAGAAAGAACAAGACCTGCAATTCAGGAAACACCGATGCAAACCCAAGGAGACAATGAGAGGAGCACTCGGGATGGTGACCCCACACCAGGTCTAGGGAAACGTCACTGGGATGGAAACAGGAAGGAGGGCTCCAGCCATAAGTCTTCAGAGGAGACACTCGGAAAGCTGGAAGAAGTTAAGAATGTGATAAAAACAGGTAATGTAAGAAAAAAGAAAGGGAATTACAAACTCCAGGAAATATGGATGTACCCATAGAAGACTAAGAAATTTAGGTGACAGGCAAATTGATGGTGCCAATATCTTCCTTACAAGGTGAGATGTCACAAGATGCTTTTGTATTTGGTAGACTAAACAATATATAAATACGTACTCTTTAGATAACAACTAAGAAGAAACTAAAGAAGTGATATTTCAATCATGAGATGCTGTAGGAGGTCCAATAAGCTCGACCATCTGCTGTTGCAGCAAGCGTTGACAGGTAAGTTAGGTGGACTAGAATGGGGAATGCAGGGTGGCAGATGTCTAATTAGTTTTAACTCTTTCCTCACTGTCTTACTATTAGTCATATGCACATTTTATTTTGCAAACTAGAAAAGTAGGAGAGTATTGGCCCTTCCCACAACCCCTCAAATGAGACCCAAGTACTTGTGGCATCTTGTGCAGAAGAGTGTGGCCTGGAATGGACCCACCTGTGGAGCTGGGCTCACCCAGAGCAGTAACGGACACAGCCACAGCTGCATCTGCAGGGCGCATCATGAAGTCCAACCCAGGCCCGTGAACCAGATGCCCGGTCTGGAAGGAAACTTCCCTGGAGGACGCCAGTGCGAGAGACATCAGCCATGACTCAGGGGCAGCCAGAGAAGGGTCTAGCATGTCACTGCCAGCAGCCAGAGGACAGACGCCAGGGCCTGGGCAGATGGCAGGGAGAGTGACAGGATCGTGGCCAGGCCCCTCCTGGTACATCTCACCACCCTGCAGAGACCTGGGGAAGACAGCAAACACCATCCCTTGGAGGGCAGAGACTCCCAGGAGGAGACTCCAGCCCAGTTTGGGAATCCAGGTTCCCAACTCAACCCAGCCACTGATGGCTGTGAGGCCCACCACGTCCCTAATTACACTGCCTTCACTGTTCTACATGTAGCTGCTAGGGTTCTAGAACACTTAAAAAATACTATGACTGCAGCACCTGGGTGGATCAGTCCTTTGGTTGTCCGACCCTATATTTCAGCTCAGGTCAGGATCCCAGGGTCATGGGATCCAGTCCGGCGTTGGGCTCCGTGCTGAGCATGGAGCCTGCTTGGGATTCTCAATGTCTCTTGACACCTGGGTGGCTCAGTCAGTTAAACATCTGACTTCAGCTCAGGTCACGATTTCGTGGTTCATCGAACCCTGCATCTAAACTGTCAGCGAGGAGCCTGCTTCCTGCTTGGGATCCTCTGTCTCCCTCTCTCTCTGCCCCTCCCCCACACTCGATCTCTCTCCCCGCCTCCCTCTCTCTCTCTCTCTCTGTCACTCACTGACTCATTCTCCTCCTTCCCCCATCCCTCTCCCTGCCCATGCTCTCTCTAAAAAACAAACAAACAAACAAACATTACTGGAAACTTAAGATACATTAGCAGTTTCTTCAAAAGGAACTTCAATAAAGCACTATTCCACAACGATGAAAGCAAAATATGATTAGGAAGAACCTAACAGTTGAGTGGATAATGATGGTTGACCTTACAGGAATTACCGGGCAGCAGTCAATAACAATCAGACTCCATGCGGCACAAACACTCACTATGTCTAAGATGGTACTCCTGGGTTTATGTTACCACTCCCCGCAACCCACCCCATAATCTCTGCAATAACCTGCAAGGCATGCCCTCTCCATTTCGCAGATGAGAAAAGCACGGCACTGAGAGGTCACAGGAACCTGCCTAAGTTCACACACCTGGGCAGTGTCAGCCTGCATGTGAAGGGCCAGGCACAGACAGTGTCATGAGAGATGCTGATGTCACGTGGGAAATGGAAAGTGTCCATATTTTGATGGTTACACATGATGGGACCTGGCCCCTCACTCAGACCTAGTCCTGCTGATGGCTGGCACTTTCCTCATGCTTACATCAGGTTCACGCCTCGTCCCAGGTGAGGGAGAGTGCTTGGACAGTGCCTAGTACGCAGGAGGAACTCAAGAAATGTTAGCTGTTACTGACTCAGTGAAATGCAAACAGTACAAAAATACTAGAAATAAAATGAAACAAGAGCTAGGGTTCACCTTTAGGAATAAGTCTGCATGTTTTTCTTTCCAAATCCGTTTTCCTCATTCTCCAATACACACATGAAGTCAGGCTGGAGCCCGGCTCCAGGGCGCAAGTGTGGGGTCCCTGACATGCATGGCTTCCTTACCAGTGGCTCTCCCATACCAGAATGGCAGAATCTGCAGTCACTGACCTGGTCCCACTGCTGGCCCCAGGATTCACATGCCTGCTCCAGGCCTGGTCACCCACCCAGGATGGGGAAACTCGATAGGGTGACGGTCCCATGGTCCCATGGGATGGCAGTACCTGGGAGGCAATGGCTTTGGCATAGTCTCATCTCCAGAAAAGTCCGGGGCCAGGGCCAGCGACTCCCACGGCCCTTGGGCGGTCTCTCTGGATTGTGCAGGCCCATTTTCCTCCTGTCCTGCTGAAAGCCAATCAGACACGAAGGAGACTTGCTGATGCTCCCAGTCCCAGCCTCCTTCCCAGCAGGTTAAGAGCAGCCCTACTGGCTGAAAAAGAGGGGTCAACCACTGACTCAATACAATATCCTTTGTCCCTTAAATGTCTTTTGTCTGAAACCGATCCATAATTACAAACCCATGAACCCCTACATCATGGTGGCTGGCTCACTTCCCAAGTCTTCTCGACTCCTGGCCCTGGACGCACCATAATCTCTAAATGCAAAACACCTGTGGCAGGCCCCACTTAGGGGCATCCTGACCCTCACCCTCAGGGATCTCACTAACCACAAGGTGACGTCCTCAAAGTGCAGACTGGGAGTGAAGGTGCTGTCCCTATAACCACAGTGAACCTAACTAGGCTTAGCCCTAAACAAAGGGTGCCCCCAACCACGAGGAAGGGGGGAGCCCTGGAACCACTCACCTGGCCACTGAGGCCTGTCCACACACCCAGAGCCAAGGTGGGGGTGGTCTGAGGGCTGGGGGCGGTCCGGACCCCTCTCCCTCACACTGGGGTCCTCTACTGTGTCCTCCGGCGCTGGCTCCAGGCGCTGGAGAAGGGCCCTCTGGCGCCGCCGGTAATTGGCAAACCAGTTGTACACTTGCTCTACGGTCAGGCTCGTCTCCAAGGCCAGGTTCTCCTGCCCCAAAACAGCACAACCTCTAGGCCCTCCACCGTCCCCGGAGCAGCGGCGTGCACAAGGGCGACCCGACAACGCTTTCACCGAGGCGGCGAGCCGGAGCCCGGCCTCACTCTCGGAGAGCGGCAGCACAGAAGCTGAGCCGCCTCAGAGCAGGAGGCCCGAGCCAGGCCATTTGCGCCGCCAGCACGTCCGGCAGCCCGGCCTCGTTCACCGCTGGCGCCGCAACGGCGGCCCCGCCAACGATAACCCAGAAACGCGGAGGGCTTGGACAAGGCCTGCCGGGCCGGAGCCTTCCGAAGCAGGGGGCAGCGACGGCCCGTGACCAACGCCTGTCACCCAGGACCCCGCAGAGCAACTCTTCTTGCAGCCACCGCTCGGCGCTCGGGAGAACCCAGTCTACGCGGCCGGCGCGGTGATCACTGGGAGAGCACTACTGATTGGACAGGTAACATGGTGGGTGGAGCAAGCACCAGGAGTGCCCTTTTGATTGGACAAGCTCTAGAAGGGGAGGGGAGAAAGTAGGTGGAGCTAACACGGGAGCGCCCTGCCGATTGGACAGAGCAGAGAAGTGGGCGGAGAAAACAGGCCGGGATTTTGGAGCACCGGGAAACTCCCACTGGTCGTATCTAGCCTCTTTACCCCTAGCAACCTCACCCCACTCCACTCCGTCCCTCCAGTTTCCCGGGGCTATGTTGAGGATGGCGCCCTGCTGGCCCTGAGCTCCGCAAATACCTGCCTCCCTCAGGCTGGAAACTCCACGACAGCAGTGGGGATATGATGACCCCACGTTTGAAAACTAGACCCTCCACGAGTGCAGGTTGGATGGTCACGAGCTGCCAGCCAATGAGCTCCCGTCTCCAGGAAAGTTCTGAGAGAGGCGGAAGCCCCCAGCATCCTGGCAGACGGGCCACTGGGGAGGTCCGGAGGAGGAGAGGGTAAAGGTGTGAGTCATCTAAGGGTGGTGGCGTCACCTAAGGTCGGGGGGGGGGGGTAGGCTAAACGGGGGGCTGTCGAGCCTCGATCTCCTGGGTTCTTACCCGCTCGGCCTTGCTGGGGTTGGTGCTCACGCTCGAGGCAAAGTCGTGCAGCTTCCGTCGAACCTCTCTGGGAAAGTTTCGGCTCTTCAGGCCATCAGGGCAGAGGGAGAGGGGTGGTGGGTTTCTGGATAAAGACAGTGAAGTGGTGGTTACAGACACCCCTTCTCCTGGATGCACCTCCTGTGCTCTCAAACACTGCACCCCCAGACATCCTCTCATCTCACTGGCTACTCTCCTCTCTAAGCTGCAGAGTCCCAAGCGTCCATCCCCTGAAGAAGGGAGGGGCCCACATTTCACGGCACAACCTCAGAGGGGTGTCACCAGGGTTTCCACTACCGCTCACTGAGATGCCACAGCTGACCAATGGCTGGTAACTACTGAAAGTGGATGATGAAGATATTGAGGTGGGCTATGCTACTCTTTACGGTGTATATACACGAGTTTTTCCAAAAGGAAAAAGTGATATATAAACAAATACTACCTGTGGGGAACACCCAACGTACCCAAACACCAAATGAACAAATCACCATGGATGTCAAAAATGCATCCCACACATACCACATCCCAAATGGAGCTCGATCCTTTGCTCTCGGATCTTCCCCCAGTTCTGTGCATCTCAGTGAGAAACCATCATGTTCCAGTCAATCAGACCAAGAGCCCTGGAGTCCAGCTTTATTCTCTTTACCTCCTCCAACACATCTCACTCGTCAGCAAATCCTCCGAAATCTGCCCTGACACAACCCTTTCTACAATCACTCCCAAAGATTCCCAAGAACCTCTTGCCCCTGCTCCTGTACTAACCACCTTTAGGAGACCCTGCCACACTTAGGCAGCGTACCAACCATGATGGCTGTAACCCCAATATCATCCCCTCCTTACACATCTAGGGATTGCTGTCCCAGAGCTCAGGCCTCCAAGCCAAGGCTTAGGTGAGCCTGCCTGCAACCTCCAACCCACAGCAAAGAACAAAGGCAGGATAGTCCTCTACTAAGCACATTCTCTGTCTAGTACTCCCCACTCTGATTATGGACTCCACAGTGTTTCCTCATCTACCACCCATTGTCCATACCCAATGTCAGCCCAGGAGAGGAGGGCCCAAGCATTACCCCCAGCACCTCCAATAGCACCCAGCAATCAGGGGCCCCTTCCAAATACTGCATACTGATCCCCAAATCATTTACTTCATTGCACTGGACTCTGGCAGGCCATTAGCACCTATATGGAGGGACATGACTGCTTTCCTGAACACCCCAAGGCTGATTAACTGCTGGGTTTTGAGGGCATATCTCACTCTTTTGTGGGCACTGGGAAAATAATTCTCTCTGATCCAGAAGGAATCCATCTCTTCTTCAGGCCAGTAACCAGGCCCTGTGGGACAGGAACCCCCTGTCACTTGGCTGGCAGGAGCTCAGAGCGAGATCTGCAGCTCCTCCTGGTCAGAGAGGAACACGCAAGATGAAGAACAAAGGCTGTGCAGCCTCAGTGTCTCTCCTGGAAGCCTAGCTTTGCATCTCTCTCATGTGTAACCCTGGGCAAGTTGCTGACCTTTCTGTGCCTCAGTTTCCTCATCTGTGAATGGTGATGACAGTAATAATAATAATTAGCACTTGTAATGTTTACTTGGTGCTGAGGATGGGCCCAGCATCTCTCACGTGCCAGGCAATCTTGTAAGCACCACACGTATCTCCTCTAATGCTTGCATCACTCTCCTCTTTATTCTCCTTAAAATGTCCTGCAGCCCTAAGGGATGGCACTGAGATCCAGGCCACGGCACCTGCAGAGCCTGTCTGCGAGAATCAGATGACCTAAGACACAGGTGCTGGAAATTTCCCAAGGGAGAAGAAGAGGAGAGGAAGCGAGTAAGGTCAGGGTGCCCACCTGCTGCCCCCTTCTCTGCAGAGCCCTCACCAGAAGGCAGCGTCTCCTGCCGCAACTAGAACTCTCTGCCTGGGTCCTGGAAAAGGCTCCCTCTCCTTACCCTGCAAGCATAAATGGGAATGCACCCCTCCCCCAGCTGCGCAGGTAGGTGGAGAGTGTGGCTCAGTGTGGGGCACAATGGCTGACGTAGAGCCTATGATCTTTTGATTACTACCGCTTCTTCTGACTTCTGCATTTATCTCCCCGCCTCTATTTCACCTCGGCCCCCCTGTGGTTTTAGAAGGCACAGCCCTCGGGAGTCATAGGGAATAAGCACAAAGACAGACCAGCAGTATACCTCTTTCTGCAGCGGAACTTCTGCACTGGGGTCAGCACAGCCACGCCCAGCCGCTTCATGACCAGATGGTAGTGAATGTCGTTCCAGAGCTGGACCAGCTCCTGGCTGCCTCCGGGCACACGGCAACCCTGCCGAGAAAAGCCTGCTGAGACCTGGCTGCCCTCGCCCTGCCTGGAGCACTGCCATCCGACCCGACCTGACCCCTGAGAAGAGCTGCCTGTTGATGTGCCAAGCAACGAGGGCATGAACCCAGCACTCCAGTCACCAGCAGGCTCTGTCCCTGGTGGCCCAGCCAGCCATTCAGGTCACTTCAGCCCTTCAACCCTCCCACCCAACACATGAGGTGAACACAGCTCTCAGTCACTGCTTACAGATGAAGAGCAGGAAGCAAGGAGAACACAAATGACTGGCCTGGGGCCACACAACACGCAAGAGGCAGAGCCACAGTTAGAACCACATGGGGATTCCAAGGCTTGACCCACATCTTGCACGAAAGACCTTTCTCTCCCACCCAGCAGAGCTGGCCCCTCCGGTGCCCAGCGAGTACATTCTGAGTCAAGCGGGGTGAAGTCCTGGTCCGTGCCCCGTGACAGCTCACTAACCCAGTGGGACTTGATCACATAACCAGACTCTGGAGATGGCCAAGGATACCTGCGGCTGGCCTCCCCCAGAACCCAGCTGCTGTAGTCAGTGTGTGGGGTTCTTGCATTGAACTCCAATGTCCTCAGGACCATCTTGGCAAGGGAGGTGCTGACAATCATTTAGCTTTCTCTCCACAGCATCAGAAAAGCCCGTTTTTCTGGGCTGTGACTTTCACTGGCCGAGGGCACAGCCGTCCGGGAACGTATATGGGAAACTTGCTACCTGCAGGATGTGGCCCTGGGCAGGAAACATCCTTTCTTGGTGTGGTGTCCCCATCCTCTCTCTCAGGTCTCAGCTATACGTCACCTTCTCAGAGACATTTCTGGACCATCCAGACTGTGTTTATAATCCCTCTATTGGGAGTTTTTCACTACTGGTGTCACTCACACATTTCATCATTGAAATGCCTTAACAGACATTATTACAACTCTATGTTTTCCCTTGTTTGTTTACCGGATCCATTTTGACAGATTTGGAAAAACTTAGCCCCATGTTCCGTGCCGTGGATCCTTTAACAGGCAGAACCAAGGCAGCCCCTCTCTTATGGGGCCTGCAGTGCAGCAAGGGAAGGCAGACAAAATGAATACCAACAAATAATTTTTCTAATTAGGAACTGAGGAAGGAGCTATAGGGTGAACAAGATTCTCCACTGGAGAATAAAGTGGGCACTGCTTAGACAGGGTGACATCTACAGCAGAAACCAGAGAAGAAGAAAGACACCAGGCACACAAAGAGCCAGGCTCCGGCCTCTGGCACAGGAGAGAACACATGCAAAGGTCCTGAGACACAGAAAGATCTCAGGAGTTGTAGGGACAGCAGGAAGCAGCATGGCTACATGAAGGAAGCAGGGGGAGAGTCCAAAAGAGAGACTAAAAAGCAGGCAATCTCACATGGCAGGCTCCTGAGCCGCCTGCAGACTCATGCAGACCACGGCCCATCTGCAGTTTTCAAACTCCCTGTGGCTGCTACAGGAGCAAATCAAGGGGACAGGAGGGGACATTAGGGGAGCAACCAGGAGGACCCCACACAGCCTGTGGCAGGAGTGGAAACGGAAAGAACTGGAAAGAAGTGAGGATTTCCAAGGTAAACTCAGCATGAACCAGGCATGAACTGTATCTGGGGGTGAAAGAGGGAAATGGATGCCTCCAAATCCCTTACACGAAGCCCTTCGAGCCAGATGTACTTTGGAATTCAGAATGTCTCAGATTTTAGGGAGTAACACAGGCATACGCTCCGTAACATGCACCACCCCAGTGTCATCTGGGGCAGGCAGCACGTTAGAATCAAACATACCGGTATTTAGGCAGCAGAATGCACCACGGTCACATTAAGTGGCTACAGACCATAAATGGCTTCACCTCGGTGCAGGTCAGGTCACATCAGTGCCAAATGAGTCAGCATCCAAGTATCACCAGAGGAGTGACAACGATACTTTCGGTTTGCGTTCTCGACTGCACACCTGTGGCTCAAGGATCGAAAGCCTGGCTCTGTTTGACCGTCTCACCACCTGGGAGCCCCGCTCCCCGAGCCAGGGCCACCACTCAGAATGGACCTCATAAAGGGACAGTGTTGCCTCAGATCACAAGGTAGCTAGAATCTGTGAGGCAGAGTGGACCCTCCTGGCTCCGTTTATAAAGAAGTCTCCCCACATCTCCGTTGTGTTCGGGACGGTGGTGGCCACTGAACCTGTCTGTGCCCCCCTCACCGATCCATCCTACCTCCAGCACCCGGCAGGCAGCCTGGTGCTGCTCTTGCTGGGCCAGCACCCGGGCACACACGAAGGCCACGTCCGCATTGTCCAAGAGGTGCAGGCGGAGCTGACTGTCCAACACGGCTGTGACCAAGGGCTGCGCCTGGGCGGGGTCATCCTGGAGGTCTCGGCACAGCCTGCCTGCAAGAGTCACCAGCTCTGCCAGGGGTGGCCCAGCGCCCCCACTCTCCCTCAGCAGCTTCAGGAAGCTCTGCATCCCACGTTGGGTCGGCCCCTCTGCGAACAACACAACAGTCATCATGATGGCCACATGCCGGCCGCACCTCAATCCTCAACTCTGCGAGGCCCCTCTGGCCACAGGCATTTTTAACATGGTTGTGAGAGCTCCCCAGGGGAAGGCAGAGGGGTGTCAGATGCCGGCTAGTTTCCTTTCTTTAGTCCTTTGCTGTGCACTAGGTACTGTCACTGCGATGGCGTATCTCATGCCCGTGAACCTTTTGTCTGTGTCCCGTCCACAGGCCCCACCCTGGTCTTCTCCTATCTCCTCCTCTCTGTGTCCCCCACATTCTTCATTTTCTTTTGAATTTTATTTTAGAGAGGGAGGGAGAGAGACCACATGTATGAGCACGGGAAAGGGGCAGAGAGAGAGAATCCCAAGCAGGCTCCACACAGCACAGAGCCCGACACAGGGCTGGATCCCACAATCCTGGGATCATGACCTGAAGTCAGACACTCAACCGACTGAGCCCCCGAGGTGCCCCTCCCCCGCT